CCCAGTCCGAGAAAAAGGATGGAAGGATCCTGTTCATATGGACCTGTCGTCAGACAGAAAACTAAATAAATAAAATAAATATAGAGTGTATAAATAAACACATAAGAGGGAGGTCGTCTCACCTTACGTTTCGTCGATGATTTCTATTAATCTGAATTTATCGAATTAAATTAAGTTTTCAGTGTATACGAAGAAGAGAATCCGTCACAAATTTTATTAATAATGACAAATAATTACGGCGATATGTTTCGATCTCACAGAATTCATCGCTCTGATGACGGAGGGAGTATGACCTCTGAAACGTTGGTAAACATCGACCAGACTACACAGCGCAACAACCCAGAAGACAGAAATCTTCATACTCACCGCTGTGAAAACCTCAAATCGTACATGAAAGAATTGTTTTTAGTATTCCACTTTCTATTGCTGTGTTACGTTTGGTTATTCATAAAACGGGATTTCAACACAAGTAAAAGTCGTATATTTATTTTTCAAAGCATTTTTCTTTTCTCTTTTAGAAAGTTTACTAAGAAATGCAATGACGCATTCAATAAATGGGGGTAAGATCAGTGCAACGCCCGTTTCACAACTATTTCTGTGATACAGCTTTTCTTGAAAAGTTTATAGTTACTCAGTAAATAAATTTTCTTTCTTAAGGAGACCGATTGGTCGTAATGTTAACAAAAATAAGAAAACACAAATGAAATCTTTCCTCGAATATGTATCAATCCAAACTTTACATTTTATTTCTTAAGTATCCTTTTCGTACAGCCATCCATTTCCTCCCTCGTCACATATCTTTCGTTATGGTTTTCCAGTCAAAAACTTTGTATATATTTATGGAGTGATGGGAGGATGTAATTAACTCTTCTTGTGTGTTGTATTTTATATTCATAATTTTGTTGACGCTATATTACTGATTTGGATTTTTTTGTTCTTTTGGTATGCGATTTAAGTTCTTTATTTATACTTCATTCCCACCATCAGTCGCTTCCTTCTGGGTTTAATTTTCTCAACTTTTTCCAAATTGCTTTCAATGTGCAGGCTTATTTTTCCTATAGAGTGAGAGACGTTTCGAGAGACAACAGGTGACGTCATTTTGTATTTTTTAATTCTTATTTTGTATATATGTTAGAGGAAAGGAAGAAGGCAAATACAATTGCTACATCGGCCGCAGAAATATGTCGACAAGAAACAGTGATTATGTAGCCACGGTTCAAAATACCTTTTCCTCACAGCAAATGAGACGTTGGTACCTTGCAGTTTTGAAAACGATTGTGGCAACTTGTTTTCATAATTTTTGCAGAGTCAGTCGCTCTGAGTTTGTCATATTTTTGTGCAACAAAAAATGTTCTGGGAACTATGTTATATGATTAAAGGATGCGAAGCAAAAAGGAAAAATCGAATCGAGATTCGCTGAAATTGAAGGGAAACGCCTGTAGGTGATCACACACTTTAACGAAAACTATTGCAATTTCCGATATGTTTCTCCGAACCGTTGGTAACCATCTACAAGACTACACGGCGTCACAAGGCATACCAAAAGACATGTTTCCATTTTTCATAGCTAACCGCACAAGATAATTTTCATTTCAGTTCATTTCGTACTTACTCCATTGAAATGTTTTTTTTTCTTCTTCTAAGAAACATTACTAGTCATAATGAGATACTCATACGTATGATTTGTACGGAAATATTTTGTGGTCTAATGTGAAAGGCTTTTCAATAAAGCGGTCGAATTAATTTTTAGGAATTAGGGTATGAGCGTGCGGAGTTCATTTACCTGGCTGGCGCTATGAACGTGATGATAAATTCTCTCGGGATGCGTGAGAGGCAAGGATTTTCTTCAACAGCTGATAAATTATTGGTTCCTGAGGGACTCTGATTTTTAAAATTAGCTTAGCATTCGATCTAATCTGCGAATGAAAACAATTTCACGGTCCTGTATGCATTTAATGGGGCAGGCGCGCAGAATCCTATTTATGGAAGTTTTGGAAAAACACATCTGGAAGTACTGAATTTTGTTCAAAAAACTTGCAGGTATTTTCACGGTTCAATGGGTCACTCTTACTTCGTATAATGGAGGTGCCCGGTTCACATCTCGTGGTCTTCTCTTAATTCATTCCAAACATATTTTTCGATAGTATGTTAAAATTGGCTACGATCGCTTCCTTCCAGATCATTTCAAATTAGATTCGAAGTATGGCCGAATGTAATTTCTTATCCTATGATCATATACCGGTTTATAAAATTCGTCGCTAGATAAAACAAAACCTGTTCATCGGTGCACAGTTCAGTATAGCTGTCATCTTCAATGGCAAGTTGTCTAAAATATTTGTAAAAAAACTGCCTCATATTTACAAGTTAGACGAATGACACTACTTAAATAAGTTTCTAATTATATTTTCACACAAAACGTTTATTTCGTTTTTCCCCCTTACAGGGACATTTTCAAACCACCCAACTTCGTATTAGTTTTAGTCTATTAATAGTAAGGCCTACATAAATTAATACGTTGTGAGTAAAGAAAATAAAAAGTAACTTTTATTAAAGTTGATCTTGTGGGCTGTAACGCCATGTGCACTTGGGAGGTAGATATTACCGTATCGGAAGAACACACCGTCTTGCTCTTGAGCCCTGATTATGGAGAAAGTATGTTACTCCGAAAATCTGGTATCTGCATACAAGTTCACACACCGTTAAAACCCAGAAGACCGACATCTTCCATCTTTGCGACTGAGAATTTTAAACCTCAATACATTTTACTTTTATTTATTAATTTTAGCATGATTAGCTATAATGCTGTGCATCGACTATTTAAAACAGTTGTTCTTACCGGTAACTTTGGGAACGTTTGCAGATTCCACTTCTTAGGCTTCACGTCAGTTACACCAAATACTCGGTTCTAACAGCGAAGTAACACTTTCAAGCACTCCCGACATCTATCACCTCTCCATGGCGATGGTCACTCAATAACTGAAAGAAACTTGTGGGCCTGAGTCAGTCATAAAAACTACAAGGCGATCCCCACTTCGTGTACCACCCCTCTCCTACCCCTCATCGATTTTCCCTTCTCCCTCTACCCTCGTACAACTAAACCCAGTAGTTGACCATCCTCTACCCCAACAGTACAGACCAAGGTTCAGGTTGCAAAACCACCCCGACACGAATTCCCCAACCCCTAACGAAGTTCTCCTACTGGAACCACCCCTCAGTACCACCACCACTCGCTATTTCCGGAAGCTCCATACACTTCCACCCCCAACATCTGACCCTACTCATGGAAGTCATTTCTTTTTACACCAAAAACCCGCAGTGATAAATGGAACTGCAGCTTTTAAAAATCACACTAATAAAAAGGAGCGTCTTTAAAAAATGCGTTGTATAACTGCCAAAATAAATTTGCGGGAAAGAAACGATTATTGCAAGGTATTGAAAGGAAATTTCGCTCGTAAAGAACTATACTTAGAAGAAGGTTCTTTTAGGACCTGGAAGTAAAATACTAACGAGTCGGCATAAAAAGTAGCCGTAAAGAAAAGTTCACACACGTTCTGTCAGGGGTTCCTAAATTGTGTACCAGCAGCACGATACAATAACTGCGTACATTCCTACATTCCTGTTCCATTCTTCATGTACCAAGTGCTGTGGTCTCTGTACTATTTATTATGTTCGGCGTCATCGATATCGCAGACCTGCAATCACAATCCGGCTTGTGCACCGTGGATGTATGAGTTAGGCATTGTCTTAGCATTCCAGCGTTTCTCTCATTTATTAACATAAAACCGTTCTAGAAATCTTTCACTTTCTGTGAAACCGTAGATCAACTCTCTTTTCACAAGGGACCGCCACTGGACCCTATCCTTCGTCATATAAATAAAGTCCACCCTTCACACATTATTTCTTTATGGACCATTTTAATAATATCCTGTCATTTATTATTAGGCCTCCAAGCTGTTGCTATGTACACGTATTTCTTATCTTGACATTATCTTCAATGTGTCATGGCGAAATGTGACTGGACATGAGGGCAGGAGCTTTCAAATTGTTTTTACTTTCCCATTTAATAATATATGTTTTCTCTAAAATCTATTTTCTCTTCCATTCCTACATGTTTTGAATGGTCATATTGAGACAGGATATAGGAAACAGTACACGACTGCTTTACATTTATGTCTGTTCGATAATTTTTTATGCCGAAGCAAATTGATATTATTACTATTTTCTCTCAATTTTTGGCGCCTGAAAAACTGTCTGAGTCGGACGCGTTGGTACAAGTTGTCTGAAATGGCTTCCGTTATCTCAAACTTCATGTTGGCCGCGCCTCGCCATGCTGACCACGACAGGTAGGAAAACAGTGCAGGTGTGGGCAAAACCCTTTTTCTTTCAAGAACCTGATCCTCAACGTTTATTTACCATCAGGTAATAAATTTTTGGAAAGAAATATATTTTTTAAAACTTTACATTTTCATACATATAACCAAGTCGGTGGATTGATAATAGACGTATTAGACGCAGGATAATTAAAAAAATTTCCATTTCCACAAATTTTATCCTTCAGGCGAGGGTAGTGTACAGGTATTTCCCAGTATGGCAGGGCTTCACCACAACGTTTAGATCGGTCCTTTGGCCTTCCCAGCCTCGTATCCAATGGACATCCGTTTAAAATGGAATTTGAGTTTCCCACCGCGGTGGCAGAGGGTAAACTTCCACCAGCCTCCACGGCGCTACAACCCAGAAGATAGCCATCTTGATACTCGTTTTCTTTCTGTCCAATAAAAACAAGAAGAATGTTACACCAGTGATGTTAGCCGATGGTGCCGAAACGAAATATGTATTTTAAAGTTAATTAGGTACAAGTACAATAAGAAAATTCCCACTTTTTCTTGTTGAATTTTGACTTCGACTTTTCTAGCGCAGAAACTGATGCGTTATTTGGTAATAATAGTATAAAAATGTCTGTCTTCCGGGGAGTTGCGGTGGTAGATATCGACCAACATTTCAGATGAGTTTACTGCCTTCGTTATCTCGGTGGTCGGCATCTACCAGACTACGCGGTTTAACAAGTCAGAAGACAGTCATTTCTTACTCGTCGCCGTGAGAAATTCAAGTCTCGCCAAGTAACAGTACGTTTGCAACTGTTCTGTAAATATGTTACATAAATAGCTTATCATATTTAGTTTAATAGATCGTAGTGTTCGTCCGATCTAGCGCGGCGAACGACCAAAGCTTGAGGCTCAGTTGAGAGGAAATGGTCGGGGTTACCTGCGTTCCAAAATATACAGAGTGTGATGAAGACGTGTAGGTGACGTGGAGATAAAGGTCAAGCATTCTATGATGGACGTGAATTATCAGTTTTTGGCAGTTCTAAGAGTCCATTCACAGCGCGATGTAAAGGCTTACTTCTCTTTCGACGCAACGCCATATCTACAGTCGACAAAACGTCGTTGAAAGAGTCAAGAAACAAACGTTACTACAAATTTGGAAATTTTAGTGCATCAGGTGAGCAGATAGGAGTTCTACACCAAAATACGGGCCGATCTTAATGGATTCTGATTTTTCAAGTTGGTCACATTACTTACTTCTTTCGTAGAAGACCGCATACCGGAAACAGGCTGCTACCTGCAGAGTTGACTTCTGACCTGACTCGACACGAAGAGATGGTAGCTTCATCGCTTCCTGAGGTTGTCGTTCGCGCCTGGTGCGACAGGACCTGTGACCTGACGGCCTTGGCGGCGAATGCACTGCAGCACATGATGATGGCTCAGACACCACGGCGGAAGAAGGAAGCAGGGCTGGGAAATGTGCTTTTACGAGATACATAAAAGACCGTCCATGTGTTAAATGAAGAAAGATGCTATATATTATGTAGGATTTGATATTTTTTACGATGGTGAGTAAGAAGATGGCTGTCTTGTGGGTTGTAGCGCCGTATACTCTGGTACAAGTTTACCAACGTTACTTGCTGCCTCATCGTCCTGATCATGTAGGTAGCAACTTCGATCAGACTACACGGCGCTACAGCCCACAAGACAGCTATCATCAAGACACTGCATGCGCCCACAAGATGTACGGTCTTACGGTCGTGATGATTCAAATAGTCGCGGAAAAAATAGCTCAGTTCCTATTAAAATGAAATGTGCTGTTCGGACTTACGGACTGAGGCAACCCACGCAACCCTCAGAATTCGAACCACGGGTTGTTTATTACAACTGTTTATTACAAAAGTAACTTGTGTAGTTTTCTGGAAATCGCGGTTATAATTTGTATTTGATATTACTTTCACAAGTATTTCAAGCATGCCCCAACCATTTAAATGTCCGATTTGATTGCCGTATTACTATTTGGTGCAGATTACGAATTATGAAGCTGTCAAAAATCTCGTGTGAAGTCGTAACATACGGTACCGCTGAAAATGTTTTTTGTTACACTGTGCCAGCTTGGTGAATAATAAGCCCACTAGCAAAAGAAGGGAAAACACGGTGAACTATAGACTTTGACTTAAAAAGGTCAGCTCTTTTCAAAGTTCAGAAAAGCCATTAGTAAGCAAAGTTGTTTGTTTTGTGGTTAATAATGATATCTGATACACACTGTTTAATTCATGGCACAGCTTGTTGGACTCTTTGTTCACACAACTTTGTTAAACTTTTCGCAACTACGAAACGAGGAACCCCCGAATAACTGAGCAGGGAAAGTACAGTTACTCTGATCAGAAGCGGGCTACTGTAATCCAAACAAGCGAAATAAGTTTTAGCACTAAAAACAACGCACTTGACATGAAATTATGTGTGAAAAGAGCTCGAAAGAACTTTGTTGAAATCATATTTTTGTAAAAGGTAAAAAGTAGGCCTGCATCAGCAATAACTAGTGAATTACTAACTAAAAACCTAAATTTATGGAGGTAGATAACAAACAGGTACAATGTTTATAAAACGTTTTAAATGTTAACGATTACAAATATGATAATGCCAATGATTCTGTTTTCAAGAACTTCTTGTATTTGTATTGTAAAGCATCTGTGACGTCAGTAAACGTGAAGTCTAACGCTTTATTTAGTTTACTTTCAGTTTCAAAATATAATTTAACTTATTATCAGGAAAAAAGAAAACAAACAGACATCTATTCTATCGTTTTTAAAGCAGTAAACTTTCTTTATTTTTCTTAAACATTATACAGTTTTCAATACGTAAATTTCATAAAATAAAACATTTTTCAAGTATTTTGTATTGATTACTGAAAACCTTGGAACGGAACCTAATGTATTTAAATATGTTCCCAATATATTTTTGCTTTAATTTACGCCGCTTCACTTTACGCCGGAAATCTCAGGAACCTAACCCCGGAGTAAACCGAGTCCTACCTGTATATAGTCTGAGGACTTAAAATTGATACGAATCATTTTCTGCTGAACGTTTGTGTGAACTAGATAACGAAGAAGCGTGACTTTAATGGACAGCCTGCGAGGAAGTGTAATTCTGTATATAACAAAACAGGCATATATATCTTATATCGGGAATTATTATAGCTCAGGGGTTAAACGCTGGCTTCTAACGGCGGAGGCCCAGGTTTAGTCTCAGGTGATTTCAAGTGAGATTCGTGGTGGACAAAGTGGAACTGAAGCACGTTTTTCCTCGAATTCTTCAGTTTTCTCATGTTCAGTATCATTCCTAAATTATTGCAGTTATCGCGTCTCTTCAAGTTATATGACCAAGATTGTATGCTCATTTCACGGCGGCTGGTATGAAGATGGGTGTCATCTGGGTTTTTGCGTCATGTAGTCTGGTATAAATTTACCGACGTTTCTTATGTTCTTGTTGCCTCCATCATCAGGGCGATGAGTAAGTCACGGACGGCTATACAGCGCAAGAACCCAGGAGACATCCATTTCGTTGACGACAAACTAACATCATAACTAATGTATGCTACAAATGTTGAACAGGGCCTCAGCATGTTCATTGATCA